TCCCTCACCTTCCCATTTTTAAGTCATGACAATGCAAATAACTGAGGAAATACATCTTTTAAAGGCCTACGCCCAACCGATTTATCCAACCAAAACAGAATCCTCTCCCCTTGATTTGAAAGTTTATGAATGATGGTGACAAATCTCATCCATTTATAGTGAAAAGATGAATAATTCACATTTTGAATAATTGATGTATGTAAGTAAATCCTAACTTATAACTAATTTATACTTTTTATCAATTTAACCATTAATTATTGAAAATCTCTTCCCAACATCATTACTTTTTTTAAATTGCAATGATATAATTACAGTCTTATATAAAATTGTAAATTTATAACTATAACATAATCTATTAACATTGGTTTAAATAGTTAATAAGTCATTCGAATCACGCCAAAAATGTTGGTTTCAATCACTTTAATGTCACTTGGGTGCCAACAATACCAATGAACTATACCCACTACACTAGGTGGGGAGCCTTAACCTATATGTGGTTGATTAATTGCCCATTTTGTGTTGGTTAAACGCTATTAACGGCTATTATAAAGGGTAGATTAATTGCCCTTTTTATGTTGGTTAACTGCTATTAACGGCTATTATAAAGGGTCCTTCAATGGCTTAAACCCAATTTTGCGTTTTCTCTCAAACTTTTGCAAGAGTTTGGTATTTTATATTTTATGAGATTAGTATATATCAGTCTCGACTTTTAAAAAATTAGAGTCTTAATATATATTTAGAAATTAAAATTTCAATTTAAATTCAAAACTCTAATCAATTTTTGAATCTAAATATTAATATTTAATAAGGTAAGTTTTTAAATTTTAAATTAAATTTTAATTAAATAAAATAACGTAATTTAATATTACAACTCTAATTTTGTTAAAAGTTGAAATTGATATGTATTTTTTAAAATTATGTTATATTATAAAATAATAATTATTAAATAGAGAGTTCTCTTTTAATATTAAATACTTTCTCAATTTAATAATTAATATTTTATAATTCGATATAGTTAAATTTATAAAAACACTTATTTTATTTTATTATCACCTAAATAAAATCGAATAATTTGAACTTAATGCATCTATAGAATTTTTATATGGAGAAATTATACTTTAACTACTTGTGGTTTAAGGTTGATGCATAAAAAAACCCGAGATTTTAAAATGTGTATATAACATACTTGTGATTTGAGATGAGTGTACATAAAAACCTGAGATTTCAATATGTACAAATAAGGACTTAAGATTTGTATTTGGTGTACATAATCACTTGAAGTTACATGAAATTGTGTTAAATACCCTTAATTTTCTTTATTTTTCTTTTCTTTTCATTCTTTTAAGTTAGAGGTTTTTAAAAAATTTCAAGTGATTATTTGCACCAAGTGCAGATTTTAGGTGTTCATGTGCACATTTTGATATCTTGGGTCTTTATTGCACATACCAAAAACTATAAGTATGTTATATGCATAGTTTAAAACCTAAAGTCTTTATTTGCACTTATCTCAAACTACAAATAGCTTTAAATCGCAATTTCCCCTTTTTTTTTACAATTAATGTATTTTTAGGTTCATCTTCACTTATTTTAAGACTACTTTCTTTTTAACAATCTTAAAAATATAACCCCATATCTATCTAATAAGTTTAAGAAAATTAACTACTAGCTCGATAGCCCAAAATTTTGAAAATTTTCACATGACCTATAATGCTATTCTTAAGGTTGTATTTATAGCATAATAATTGTTCCCATGACCTGCACCTATAGTTCATCTTACCCCTTATCACTTTTATAGCCAACCAATGGGTTTATTGAGACATAATAGTTAATAGTAGTATATATGAAAAACATTAATAATTTGTTTGTTTAAGTAAAAAAAATTAATTTTTTAAAATAAAATTTTAAATTTAAATCTTATAAATAAAGAAATAAATATTGAAATAGTTTCTATTTTTATAAGATTTATTATAACTCAACTTTAAATTAATTAAAATTTAATATAATTTTTAAATATTTAATTTTTAATAAAAAAATGTATATATGAAAAATAAGAAATTAGAAAAAGCAATGGCGACAAGTGGACATTAGAGTCTTAAACTTATAGATATGACAAACACTAAGAAGCCACTCATCAATTATCTGTGGCCAATGGAAGAAGAGCCCATTTTTCACAACCAACTTGCTGCTTGGACGACCTGACACATACACAGCTGTCATCGTCATCATCATCGTCATCGTCATCGTCATCGTCATCGTCATCGTCATCATCATTATTATTATTTTGACAAAACGCCGCCATTAATTCACAATACACGAAAGCGAACTAAACTGAAAATGGTTATGGAAACATAATTTTGTTGCCATTGCTAAGATCATAAGAAGTCGTTAAATTTTAATTTAATTTAATTATTAGAATAATTTATAATT